ATATCTTATGTTGGACAACCATTCATCAAAAATTCAATATTTCTAGCAAATACACAAGCTCTCGCCCAAGACTATCATTTATGATTAGAATTGGACCTGATAAACATGTAATCTAGAAAGCTCATGCTAACTGAAATATAAGTTTTCCCAAAATTCAAATTAAAAATGAGATAATACTTTATAGATTGCTTAGCCAAGTCGATCACATCATTCACTAGCACTAATATATCAACCAACAATCTCCTTTTCAGGAAAGCCGACTGATTAGGGGAAATAAACTTATCATTAACCAATCCTAGTCTAGTTACCAACACTTTGGATACCAACTTGTAAAGATATGCTATTGTAGAAATAGGCTCAAAATCATCCTTTTGAGATGGGAACTTAACCTTAGACATCAAAGTCATAAAATAAAAGGCAAAACTATGAGTTAATGATGCAAAACAATGAAACTGATCAAACATAATCCTTAAGTATTCCCTTAGTAAGTCATATAACCTTCTCAAAAAAGATAAGTTAAAAGTGTTAGAAATAGTACTCTTATTACCATCACACTCAGCCACTACCCCATCTAACTCCTAAAGAAGAAATGGGGCAGTCAAGGCAAGATTATCCTCAACAGAAAGAGAGTAGGAAGTAACTTCATATATATGGGGTTTCTCTATGTTTGGCTCTTTAAAGAGATTATAAAAATAATTAAAAACATCTTGCCAAACCTTAGGAACTCCTTTATTCCAGTTGTCACCAACCTTAAGGGATAAAATATCATGTCTAATACTCTTACTTTTAATATAAGCATAAAAAACCAATATTAGCATCATCTTCCTTAAGCCACTTAACTATGTATCTTTTAAATATTTTAGAATCTTTAATCATTAACAAGGACCAAATATCCACAATGTCCCTATACATAGCCTTAATGTTATCCTCAGATAAAACCCTCTTATTGGTTAGAGAATCAAGGATACTCACCACCTATCTAAATGACTCAATATGGTAGTCAAGATTTCCAAACACCTTTTTATTCCAAACTTTTAAGATAGATTTGACAGACTTAAGATTTCACATAGAAACAAAAGCCTTTTGTCCTTGGATGGAAGAAGCATACCAAGTGTCATGGACCAACTCTAAGAGATTGTTGTGAGATAACTAGTAACTATTGAATTAGAAAGGCTTGAGACACCACATTTGATTGGAATACTCTAGAATGGAGAAACAATGTTCATAAACATTCATGGGAAGAGGCCACTAAGCCATTGTCCCTCTAATGATCCCATCACATATCATACAAAAGCATTTGATCAAGCCTACTAAATTCCCCTTCATTAGGTTAGAACTAAGTAAAGTTTCTTCCTAAAAAGGGAAGATCAATCAGAACCATATATGAGGTAAAACAAGTAAATTATAAACATTCCAAATATTAGGTTAGAACCAAGTCAAGTTTCTTCCTAGTGGTTCTTCCCATAAGAGAGGGAAGAACCAATAACCCTTCTTTTTCATTTATAAGGCAAACATAATTTAAATCTCCTAAAAGACACCAAATATCTCCTCCAAGGTTATCCTCACGCAAACACAAATTATCCAACATAATCAATTTATATTCCAAGGAAGTTAAAGTAGACGTTAACCACAAAATAAACCACCTTAAAAGCACCCCACTCTAGAAAATAAATCAATAAACCATGACCCGGTAAAGATTATAAGGATCTATCCTTTGAGCTACACCAGATCCAGAGGAAACCTCCATTGTTATCCATGAAAAGGATAAAACTCAAGCCAGATACCTTATAATCGCCACAAAATGCAAAGAATTAGATAAAAATAAGATCCTCACCTTGCTTTTCTTTATCCTACCACCCAAACCCATAACATAAAAATAATAAATAAACATCAAAATTGACCCTTAGACAACCAAACAAACTTTTTTCCTATCTATTCTTCCCAAAGCCATCAATTTTCCCACTTCTACCTCATGAGTCAAGAAATAAGAATAACCTAAGTTATTTTTAACCTATAAATTATAGTTGTTATCCTACTCTCTGAGTCGCTAGATAACTCAAATAAAAGAGGAAACAAATTCAACAAACGTTAAAAGAGTTGGATAAGAAAAGCCTTTCAACACATAGATAAAGAAAACCCCTGAAAACTCATACATGTTTCTAGTATAATCGCAGGAACACTATCTTGTAAACAAAAACTATTAGAAGTACAAGGTTTAACAATATCTAGCTTTAGAAGATGAGTGGAGAAAAATGATCATCTGATATGGAATATGTTCATAGTTTGGGTTTGGCACGTGACACAAAAAGATGAATGTACCAAGATTTGAAAGAGAGATTTCAAAAGTGGCACTCAACTCCGATCAAACCAAGTGATCTAACTCTATGGAATCTGATAAAGACGACGCAGTAACAACACCCAATCTCTAAGGGAGGGGAAACATGCTTTTATTCCCGAGACGAGAAGAGTAAAATGGGATCCACCATTTCCTTTGAATCCACTCTCATAAAAGATGTAGATACTTAACCAAAATCTTAATTTCACACGAGATAAATCAGGGAACAATTACCATGAGAAGAAGGAGAAACATTAAAAATCTTTACTAAAGGTGTGAATAAACTACTCGAGTGGGTGTAAAAAAATAATTTTCAAACTTAAATCAACAATCCACTCGTCCCACCATTAAAATCAAATCACTTCCTATACCACCACCACCACCACTGAATTCACATATTTAATACCACGAATCAATGGATTCAAATTTAATTTAAAGTCTTCTTTTCAAGGATTTTATAACATTGTAAGAGGTCATCTCTCACCATCATTCAGCTTTTACTTCACTAATTCTTGTTTTTCACCATATTTATTTATTTATTTCTCAAATTGTGTAATTAAATCTTCATTAGACATCTTCAATTTATCAAATAGAAAGTCTTCCTCCGTCATAGAATATGATAACCTTGATGTGTTCTCTTCAAAGGTAGAAACCCATAAGCTAAGACTATTGATTTAATATTCTCTTCCTTCTATTTTATTTTGTTTGAAGTTTTGTTAACTAATTATGAAAATTATAATAAATTTTGATAGTGAGTCAATAAAATTTTAATAAATTTTATCTTTTTATATTATAAAAATTATATAAAATGAAAAAAAAATAAAACTACTAATTCAAATATTAAATAATAAGAATTTATCGATTATTTTTTAAATGTGAAAAAGATTAAAGAAGTTTATTAAAAAATTGAATAAATATTTCAAAATTGTATTCTCTCTTATAAAATACTATTTTGTTTGTAAAAAATTAAAATGGCAGATCTATCTAATACACATTTCAATAATTTTTATTTTTATTTTTATTATTCATGATATTATTGCTTATATTTTATTTTTTATATGTATTTCTTTTTAATTTAAATTTATTTTTATTCTTAATTTTTTTTCAACATTTTATTTTTATTATAGTTTTCAAACAAATCCGCATACAAAAACTATATCCATACATAACCATATTTTCGTGCGTGGACACAACATCGGCAGTTAGAAATTTATGCACACAAATTGTGTGATCTCATGTTTGAACACGTGATAGAGTGTTCAATCTAATAATAATAATACTTATAAGTTAAGGCTTATTAATTAAATTTAATCTTCATTTATATTATTTTAATGAGTGGAATTCACCTTATTTTATTTTATGAGTAAATGTTTTTAACTTACTTTAAATTATAACATTTAAATTTAATTTAGTTTAATGATTAATATTTTTAATATTAACATTTTTATTCAATTAATCATTTTATTAAATAATTACTCTTGAAGTAAATTGAATCTCACTCTTATTTATTTATAATTTTATCATTCTTTATTCAATTAAATAATTATTAGTTTCTTAATATTCTAAATTTTATTTTAATAATTTCATAACTTGTAGCAAATTTTGGTTTAATTCCAAAGATCTTAAAAAAAAAACTGTGAACCGGCGGGTTTATTTTGAACCGGTGGGGTCTGCTTATTATATTTCCCTCAAACCTTTTTAACGAACACGACGTTCAAATAATCAAATACTACCAAAACCCTTCCCTCCTAAAGCTTTGAACTAACCGCGCCATTGCCGCACCACCGTAACGGTACTTCGCCGGAGCTCCGTTTTGCATTCTCATCGGAAAAACCAAAATCAATCAGCAAAGACTCAGGCGAGTTTATCTTTTGCGTTTATACTGATTCTAAACCTTTGATTTCGATGATTTATCTATCTCTCTCGGTTTTCCCCTTCCGTATCCGCGTCTCTTTGGTGAAATGCCGATTATAACTGCTAACAGTTGAGTTTCTTGTCTCAGTTCAATGAGCGTTTCTTGATATTGCAAAGAATTGCTTTGAGGTAAAACGCGGCTTTGATCACATTTTGCATAAACATAAAAAAAACTCGTGATGTTGCGTTAGTTGCCAAGTTTTTAATTGTTTAAAAGTTGAATCAGGAAAAGAAAAGAAATCTATGAAATTTGGAGATCCTGATAAAGCAAAGGTAATGGGAGAATCATCAATTTTCCTACTCTAGGAGTTTATATTGATAGTGTTCCTATATTATCTATAGTTTATAAGGTGTGTATAGAAAAAAAGATGTACAATACTTTAAATTGATGTTGAATTTTCAGCTGAAAATTTTGACTGTATGTGAGCTAATTACGAGTAATTGAGTGGGTGGTAACCTATTTATACACACCAAGGGTTCATTCGTGCTCTTTCTTGTGCGGATGGGAGTTGGACTGAGCTTGGCTTTGTTGAAAGGTTGCAATGGCAACTTGATGGACCAGTTTTTAAAATTTTCGTATAATTAAGACACTGCTTTTGATGTTTACTGCCACACTGTTTTCTGTTTTTACCTGCCTTTCTAGATGTCATCTGTTCTCTTGTGTTACATTACAATTGATTGTGGTTTGTGTAGTCTCTTTATTTATGAATATTACTTCCTGATTTGGCTTTGTTGGATGGAAATAATACAGATGAGAGCTGTGACAGATTCATCTGACAGTGATGATAGTGATGATTTCGTTGCATACATTGAGGCTGAACTAGAAGAAAGTTCATCATCATCAGATGACGAAGCTGAAAGCCGAAATGAGTTAGAGGGTTTCAGGTGCTCTCCATCACCTATTTCATATATATGCTTATTGGTATTAGTTAAGCTGCCGTCAAGTTTGATTTTAATAATTTGTTGAAATTTAGAGGACTAAACATTATTTAGATATACAGCACTATGGCATTTCATTGATCAATTTAGTATTGTAGTTGGGTGACTTTAATTATATTTTAGTAAGTTGTGTTCACTAGCTACTTTCAGCCTGTTTTAAGTGATTTCTTTTATCATCGATGATTTTCGTGTCGACTATTTTTTAATGTCTTAGGAGTGATTCTTGTTTCCAAAAACTCGTGAAAAATAACAGCGGAAGGTTTTAATTACATTTAGGGCATGACCATCAACTATATTATTGAATGAATATTATCTAGTAATGCCTTTTCTTCTTAACTACGTAAAAGTCAAATGACAGTGTGTTCATCTATGTTTTGCTTAAGTATCTTAACTATTGTATGAAAACTTACTTTTCTGGTTTGTGGAATTGTGAACCATTTATGCTTAAAGGAAAATTATTAAAGTAACTTTAAGAACCACTGCTGTATGGGACTAAATACTGGGGCTAAAGAAACACTAACAAAATAAGTGCAATGTGATAGATATTAGAATGTTACAATAGATTAGAATTTGGTAGAAACACTTGAGTTAAGAGCCATATGTGATAGGACCTAGAATAAAATCATTGAAGAGAAAGTTTTTGTCACTTCCATTGTAAAAGCACCACTAAGAGGCATTTTTGTAGCACAGTCCAATAGTAAAAGGTGAAGGATGACTCAATGACATATTTTTAGACATGACGTGTGAGAGAACATTTTTGTATTGTTTGATCCATGTAGCGAACTCCACCTATCGGAAAAAGACTTTGGTTATTGTTATTGTGGAATTGTGAACCAATTAGCATCAACCTATGGGAGAGATAGGTAAAAGAAGTTGTGTTTGGGAGAGATAGGTAAAAGAAGTTGTGTTTTATTTCTCAGTCAAAGGCTGGTTTATATAGCGAGAATACAATAATCATTACACTTAATTATCTCCTTAGTAGAGAATAAAGGAAAATAAATGAGAATAAACTGAAACAAACAAACAGGGAAATAAAATATTTTCCAACCGGTTCCTAGTTTTTTTGCCTATTTATTTTGAGTCAACCTAAGGGACAATTATGTATTCTTTGATTTTTTTTTTTGTTTCGTGTTTTTCTAATAAAATTTCACTCTGCTACACTTTAACTTACAAACTAAAGCAGAACTAAAAAACGTAAGTTTGAAAGCACCGATGAAATTGAGGGGTCTACTTCAGATGGTACCATGGAACAGAAATTAGGTAATTTCAATCATTTTGTTTCATTCATTTTATTTGCTAGGAACGAGAATCCATCAAGCCACATATGCATGTAAATTTTCAAAAATGTATTCATCATGCACAGCTTTTGTTTTAGAGCAAGTGAACCAAACCAATTTTTAAGAAAAGATGTGATGATGTCCATTATAGTTTATCTGCCTTTAAGGCTTTGTTGAACTATTTAGCTGGTACAACCTAAGCTTGTTTGACGTGCATTTTTATATGTAGTCTGCGCTTTAACTGAACAGTCCCCCCTCCCCCCCGAAACAATACCGTACACTTTATACCACCTATTTTTTAATCTATTCGATAACAAGAATACCTTCAATTTATTTCCAAGTTCTAACAAATTAGACTATGCACAATCTTTTCACATGTTTGTGAAATATAATTATGAATCTCATACGACTCTCTCTAAATTGTTGCAGTGCCATCTTTAAAGGTTGATGTATGTATACATCCTGGCTCATTTGCAGGCATGTGTATATGTTGTGGGCAAACATTGGATGGGGAATCTGGTTTGCTATTTGGGTACATACACAAGGTACACATTATTTCGGATGATTATCTTGTGGTACTAATAACTTAGATTTGGATAGTTGTTGTTGCCGCATGTCGCTATTTTCAAATGACTGTAAGATCAATTGAAATACTTGGTTTAATGTTATTATCAACCTTGACCAACAATTATTGTGGGGAGCCTGTAATACCACTCATTTAGAATATATTTCTATCTATTGTTCTAGGGCTCTCACATAAAAGCATACAGTTGAATGGTTAATGACGGCAATAAATAGTGTCAAGGTAGAGTATGATAGTGCCTGTCCCCGTACCTGTGTTGTAAAAAAATATACGTATTTGTGTGGATAGCCAACTTCAATACTCTTACTCATAGGGTACCAAAGTACTTGTACATGTTATCCACACTGTAAGAAAAATTCAATGGATAAATTAACAACATTGAGCCTATACAAGTACACCACAAAAGCCATTACAAATAAAATCTGCTCCATGGTGATATTAAAAAAATCGAATCCCTAACCACTAACAAAATAATCATTAGCTTGCTAGTTCCATGGTGATATTTCTGAATCTGCTAAACAAGGTACATTACACTGATTGGCTGTAAATGCTTATTTCTTTTAACTATAAATATTGTCATGGTTTAGTAATACAAATGGAAGTTCGAAACTTTAATATTGAAAGGAACGCCATTATTAAAGAATGATTTTTTTGAAATTTTACTAGTAATTAAATACTGCTCATGATAAACAGCTTTCTAGAGAAATCTCTCGAGTATACTTTAGACTAATAATGTTCCCAAGACAGCATCCAGGACTCACGAGGGCCATTAGGAATACTTTATAATTCCTTTTGGATTCGAGGGCCATTAGGAATACTTTATAATTCCTTTTGGATTTACAAATGCTCCCACTGTGTTACAAAGTCTCTTGAATGAAGTCATCTGACCCTATTTGAGTAAGTTGGTTTCACTGGTTTTTATGACATCCTCGAATATAGCCGCAATTTGGAAGAACATCAAAACCACTCGAGCAAGGTGCTGTTACTGTTGAGGGATAATGATTTGGTAGGCAACCAACAGAAGTGTGAATTTGAAGCAAGGGAGATGGAGTATTTGAGCCATGTATTGTTTGCTTTCTGAGAGTTAGGAATAATGATTTGGTGTTGAATAGCTTAAGAGATTAGCTCTAGAGAGGGTAATGCATCTAGTAGGTAATGAGCTAGAAGCTATAACTAACAACTAAATAGCTGTAATAAATTGGAGGGATAGGGAATAGAAGAGTGACTGTCGTAAGTTAGAATTGGGACACTCTAGAATTTAGCCTTATTGTATCATTCTTGATAGGGTATTGAGCACTCTCAAATTTAGTCCTATTGTATCATTTTGTCTTTTAGGTCACATTTGATTCAGACAAACTTCACAATAAAATCCTATTTTGTTCAACTCTTCTGTCTTTTTTTTTGAATTCTTGTTGTATCATATCATATACACAACACAATTTTTCTACATAATTTGGCCAAGCAACAAGTTATTTAACATGATGGAGATTTTTCTTATTATCAGGAACTAAGACTCTATGATGAAGAAATTTCTAGATTGCGCAATATCGACATGAAGAATTTATTGTGCCGTAAAAAGCTTTATTTGGTCCTGGACCTAGACCACACGCTGCTAAATTCTTCTTCCCTTGATCGTTTGAGCCCAGAAGAAAAGCCTATAATAACTCAGAAAAGTTATCTAGAAGGTATACTCAACCCAATGCGCCTTTTCTTTTGGTAATTGGCATCCATATTTTTTATTAAAAGTTTTGCTTAATGCACCTCATCTTTGTTGTTTTTATTACGTAAAAATTCATTATCTTTTCATTGTAACTTTATAGAATAAGAGACCCCTGTTCAACATAAAGTGTGCTAGTTCTACTGTGTGTTGTTAGATCATCTTTTGATGAAATGCATTATAAACCATTCTTGATTTGTCAATCTCCAAAGATACTACAGAAAAAGTGGGTCAGAGGAATGTGAGTACATTCCATCTAATCTTACAGTCGTGTTTGTTAAAAGCTTTTCTGGAAGCTTGCAATAGGCCTTAGCTTTGTGAATTTTGTCTTTGATTCTCTTATGAAAAAATTGTTGAATAAACATTTGTTCATGTTCTTTGGTTTCTAAAAGACAGGTATCAAGCTGCACATCATCACATAGAACAGCATTAGTCATATATATATATAGAGAGAGTTGATTTGTGTCCTAAAAACGGCATCTCCTCCTATATAGACAATAGTTTTATAAAAAGGTCGACTTACTAACTCAAATTCTTACATTTTAGTAAAATTAGGGCATTTCAAGCTCATTTATATACTTCCTCGTCACTTCATCTGTGCATTTTCTTTAAAAAATTATTGATTTCCCCTTTGATGTTCTGGGGTTGTATGGCTTTTATTTATGCTGCTGCCTTCCTAAACTTGTATATGATGAAACAATAAAATTCTTGATTTCTTTAAAGGTGGCCTCTTCATGATGGAGCATATACAAAAGGTTATCAAGTTGAGGCCCTTTGTCCACACATTTCTTAAAGAAGCAAGTGAAATATTTGACATGTGCATATACACTATGGGTGATCGGCTCTATGCGTTAGAGATGGCCAGGCTGCTTGATCCTCAAAAGGAATACTTCAATGCTAATGTGATTTGTCGAGATGATGGAACTCAAAGACGCAAGAAGGATCTTCGTATGGTGTTGGAGAAAGAAAGTGCAATCCTAATTCTTGATGATACAGAACAAGTGAGTGCACTGCTAGTTTCTAACTTTGTTTTGGCCGAGTTATTTAATTGGAATGTTTGGTGATAGTTGTAGGATCAAGCGCTTACCACTAGGCCAAAAGCAATTGCTGTTAGTCAGGGCGCAACAAGTGAGTGCACTGCTAGTTTCTAACTTTGTTTTGGCCGAGTTATTTAATTGGAATGTTTGGTGATAGTTGTAGGATCAAGCGCTTACCACTAGGCCAAAAGCAATTGCTGTTAGTCAGGGCGCAACTATCTTTCTTAAAGTGAACCCCAAGGGGCCTACCTAGCCCACCTAACACACCTGTGTAGGCGCCCATGGGTGGGATGTTATCTTAAAGTGAACCCCAAGGGGCCTACCTAGCCCACCTAACACACCTGTGTAGGCGCCCATGGGTGGGATGTTAAGCCCATCGAATCCCTCAGGGAGAGGCTGAATTAAATAATCCAACAATCTCCCCCCAGTGTCAGCCGGGGGGATTCGAACCCATAACCAGGCTCTGATACCACTTGTAGGATCAAGCGCTTACCACTAGGCCAAAAGCAATTGCTGTTAGTCAGGGCGCAACTATCTTTCTTAAAGTGAACCCCAAGGGGCCTACCTAGCCCACCTAACACACCTGTGTAGGCGCCCATGGGTGGGATGTTAAGCCCATCGAATCCCTCAGGGAGACGCTGAATTAAATAATCCAACAATAGTTAATTTATGTAGATTACAATTGTGGAGAATATGAGGTAAATGCTGTTATGTTTTAGTCATTAGTTGAAACCTGCTTCTATAGAGATATTATAATAAACAATATTAAACTTTCAGAGAATTTTAGGAAACAAATGGTAGGAAATTTGTATTAAATAAAAGAATCATGTGGATTCTTTTAGAAAAAAATCACACGGATTCCAACACCCCATCAAATTAATGCGTAGATGTCTATTATGTTCAACTTGCTTATCATTTGCTCAAAGACGGGATTTTAACCAAAATTCTGTCACAAATGGTAAACATATAATTCCAACACCTATTTTTTCCTTTATGCAGTGACAATAAATCTTAATATGATTGGTTTTTATGGGAGATAATAGGTAAAATGTTGTTCTGTTTTATTCCTTAGGTTTATATAATGAGAATACAATCAATATACTTAATTCTCTCTTAATGGAGAATAAAAGAAAATAAACGAAAACAATCAAACAACAACCAAACAGGAAAATAAATTATTTTCCAACAATTCTATTTAGGGGTGAGAATAGGTTGCTCTGAGTTAGGGTTTGTCAAATATAAGTCTGATTTGTTAAAAAATTCAAAGCTTAAGTCTGGTCTGTGGCCTATCATAATCTTATTTTTTTGCATGAGCCTGATCTTTTTTAAGGTCCGATTAGTCTATTAGCCTACTTAAAAAACTTATATCATGTGAACATATATTTTCACAAGTTCTTTGATATAACTAAACCCTAATATAAAGTACAAAATACAATATAAAAAATAATAAATTTATTTATATTTATTAATATAGGTCGACCGGATAGATTTAAAAAGTTTTTTTATGACACGTGGTTTAGTCTATTTGACTAAATAGACTTATAAAAAAATCATAGGTCTTTTCTACTAAAAAAATTGGTCTAGCCTTTGTCTGACCTATTCTTACCCCTAATTCTATTAAATTGAACTGGATTATGAGAAATGCTAATGGCAACTACGAAGTAAGTTACTAGTATAATTTTGTGAAAACCGGATACGTATTTCAAGTAATGAATAATCTACAAGCAATAATCTATCTATATATACTATTCCAACCTAAAGAATCTAATTAATGGACTAATAAATCGAACACAAATTACTTCTAATAAATATTAAAATTATTATTTACAAGACTCCCTCTCAATCTAGTGAATGATTACATATCATACACGTTTGGAAACAATTTTTTGGTTAGAAGATCTGTAAATGTTGTCTTGGGAAGAGACATATCAAGTGTCACTATCTAATTATTCTTTGATGAAGTGTATTTACTTCAATATATTTAGTTCTATAATACTACACTCAGTTAAGATGCTAAAGTCTCATTGGCTCAAACCACTGGTTTCTTTGATCTTTGCTCCCTATTCAATTCTTGCAAACAAATTCTCTTTAATCTTGGTTCTTTCTTGTGGCCGCACACAACCCTTGATCTGATTCGTCGCTAGCGTACTGCGACCCAATTTTAACTAAGGTGACGCCTTTCTTCATCATTTTGCCAATGATTTAGTACCTGCTCCTTTCAAGTTACATGATCACCTGTTGTTTCCTCTTAAATTTCTGTACCCATTTTGTTGTCATCTCTTCCTTTTCCGACGTTGTCTCTGTTTGGATGCAGTTACGCACACCTTTGTCTTTGTTGTCCATGCTTATGCTGCCTTCCCATTCATGAACCAATTTTCTGTCATCATTTGATATTAGCAACACGTTTGGATATTTCAGCTTAAAACACCTTAGAAATGCCAATATGAAAGTTTCCCAACTTGCTTCGGATGACGTTGATTCCAACTAAGCCACCACATGAGAACATGACCAGTGGCAGAGCCAGAAACTTTATCCAGAAGGTGCAACAAAAATTCAAGACATGTTGAATTAAGTGGACATTTTTAAGTTCATCTGAACCCTCTCAAACCATGTTGGCTCCGCCACTTAACATGATATCTCATAGTCTTCACAACATGTGTCATCTTCTCCTTTGTTGTTTGCATCACCTCAAAGTATCTGTCCATACAAATCACCTACCTATAAGTGTCTTCTTCTTTTTTGATCATTGGAATCTCTATCTCCGGTGTCACTGACTCTCCAAGATCCGATGTAGGAACTTATTGGTTTGAAAGGTTGTTGTGATTCAAATCTAATGTCAAAGTAGTAGAGTCTTCCACTCTCCTTAGTACCTACCGTCAATCCTAAGTTCAAATTCTAAATGATACGGTGAGAACAAAATTTTTTAATTTGACACCTTTTATGCGTTTCTCACGGCTTCCTGGACCTCCTTTGCAGATGTTAAGAATATGAAAGGCTTACCAATTGTTAGTTCCATAGAGTTAACTAACCTAACAATAATTAACAATTTTTCAGAATTCCATTGTTTGAAATGATGATCTTCGTCTGCAGTTTTTGCCATGTTTCCGGTAGGAAATCCAAACTTCCTAGACCAGACAAGTTGTTTGGGTCCACGTTAAGATCCAATGCCTAAGAATGCTTAATTTTGATTAAGGTTAGTTAGTAGTAAGTTGAATAACTAAACTAGTAGTTAGTTATAACTACTTTTCAATTTTAGCATTTTCCCGCCTTTTTCCATTATGAATTCCAACTGTATAAATGGAGTTTCCCTCCGATGTATTCATCAGATTGAAGGAATGAATTCAATTCTCTCTCAATGCTTCCATTAATTCTGTTACTTGCATTAATTCAACACCAATTGTTGGTTTCATAGAGTTAACTAACCTAACAATAAAATTAACAATTTTTCTGAATTCCACTGTTTGTAATGAGGATTTTTGTCTGCGGTTTTTGCCGTATTTCCTGTAAGAAATCCAAACTTCCTAGACCAGACAAGTTGTTTAGGCCCATTCGATATAATTTTTTCTGTTTATGTGGAACATTGACCTCAAGATCATTTGAATATCCCTTCTGATTATAAAAGCTAGTGTTGAATATGTTGTCCGAACCACCGTCAAATAACTGTCCCGGGCCTCCACCAGTGCCCCGCCTCCTAGGACACCAGGCCTGGTGTCGCTCCCTATTCCCACTCTGGCATCGCCACCAACGACACCTCCTTTTCCCCTGCCTGCACCGTCTCTCATTATGGTGGAGTCATGACTGGTGCTATTATGAGCCAACTAGGGCTTGTTTCCAAGCATTTTGGCTTTCCATGGAGAAAGGGAAAAAAAGAAACAAAAAAAGAAGAAAATCCTAGATTAGAGAACTAGAGCTACTGATGTCATGTAGAAAATAGGAAGCAAATGTTATGTTTTATTCGTCCGTCAAGGACTACTTATATAGAGAGGTTACAATAAATTATCAATTATCAATGAGAATTTTAGGAAATAAATGGTAGGAAATCTGTCTTACATAAAAGAATCGTGTGGATTTTACGGAAGAAAACCACATGGATTCAATCTTCATAAACATATTTTCAAATCATATATCCTCTAATGTAGGACTTTCAACCCAAATAATGACTGCTAGCAATTAAAAATACAACTCTTGTGTAGTCACTAGATACACGACATTCACATATCTCATTCTTCCATTGCTGCTTTGGTCTAACATGATTTTATGCCCATGGAAGTATAAAAAAAAGGCCCTGGGAAGACAACTTAATGGAAGTTTTGACTATTCATAATTGATCTATTTATTTGAAGCTTACAGAATACTACTACCACCTTGGAGAATCTATAAAACTAAAGTTATCTCATTTTATTGTGATGTATGAAAGTTTTGCAAACAAATTTGTTAGGTATGGCGAAAGCACAAAGATAATCTGATATTGATGCATAGATACATCTTTTTCAATTCAAGTTGTGAGAACTTCGGCTACAAATACAAATCACTTGCTGCATTGCGGATAGATGAAAGTGAAGCAGATGGAGCGCTTGCCAAACTACTCAAAGTGCTCAGACGTATACACTGCGCTTTCTTTGAAGAAGATCTTGTTGACAGAGATGTGAGGCAGGTAGTCAGTTATCTTGTTGCTATTGGTCTGTTCTAGTTCTTGCTTTTTGTTAAAGGAAATATAAGCTAATTTGTTATGCTAGTGTGATACATTCTGATGATTTAATTCTTGCAATCAATTCATGTTTTCTAGGTTTTGTCATCACTTCGAAGTGAAATCTTAAGCGGATGTGTTATCGTTTTAAGCCGTGCTTTACGTCGTGAGTTGCCAAAACTCAAGAAGATAGCAAAGAAGCTAGGAGCTACTTGTTTAAATAAACTTGAGCCCAATGTGACACATGTAGTTTCTAACAATGTTGGAACTAGGGAGTCCCGGTGGGCACTGAAAGAAAAAAAGTTTTTGGTTCATTCCGGATGGATAGAGGATGCAAATTTCTTTTGGAAAAAGCAGCCTGAGGAGAATTTCTCTGTCGACTAAAAGAACTAGTTTCGTGTTGTATAACACTGCTCAGTTGATAGTTTGTTTAGATTTTATAGTAGGCCAAAGTTCTTGAAAAGGTATATGTATATGGATTTTGATCATGGAAGATACTTCATCCAAAGGTGAAGGGTCCCGGTATTAATTTGCACAATGGAGTGTAAATTCTTTTCATATTAATTTGTGTTCTGGGATGTCATGATTTCGGAGGAGATTAACCCGGTTCAAGAATTTGTCCAATAAAAGGGTTGTATCCTAAGTTATATAGTAGTTTAGAAATGCTTACATGTAATCTAGGAAATTGTAGTCATTGAATATTGACAGATTTACTTAATTTTGAAATGAAAGTATGAATTGCATTTTGATGCAAGGTTTTCTGCAAAATGTTAGTATGATTTTGGTTTAATATGAACAAAGTTTAGAACCGAAATGTATATTTCCTCCATTTCGTTTTAGTTTTTATCAGTTTTTTTTTTTACATGAAATGTTACTTTTAAAGGAAAAATTAAAAATATAGATTAACTGTTTCTTGAAATTTAAAAAAGTCAATTAGAAGTGGAGGGAGTTCAAGCTTACAGAAACCCGTTTCCACTTTTCGATGTCCACCAATCTCATTATGTTAATTTACAAGATATCCATGTAAATTTTTAAGCTCTACAGAGCTACATCATCATCCAGTGTATACTCTAAGACGGCTAGTGATCCTGACTCTACATATTGGACAATGACTTAGCTTTGATGCACAATCTCTGCAAGTCATGTGCCCACATCCAAACGCCAAATCTCTTCCATCGGTCAAACAAACAGGACAGGCAGATTGATTTTGTTCATCTGTTGTTGTTGATGCTGTTGAAATGTTTGGTGCAATGGTTGGTGCAGGACGAGAATAAATAACAGGAGGAGCTTTTGGAATTATTCTCGTTGCTCTTCCTGTTACACGCCTGTTATCCATGTATATACAAACAGAAGAAGAAAACATAATCACTTTAATGAATCAAAAGTATATCATAAACATTATAGATTTCTTCACTTTACGTCATAAGATTTCATAGACATGTGACAAAAAGATGTGTGAAATTCTGGTGCGTGTCATAAGCGTAAGACCTGATTAAGGATCATACCCAAGTTTTCGAAATTCGATGCATGCTTTGTATTGGAAAGGGATCTCCATGAGAGCGGCCAGAGCAAAAGCTGCTTCTTTCTCGGCAGGGCTTGAGTTTTTAGACATAATCTTCGTGAAATTAACAAACTGTACAAAACGGACAAATCATTGACCAAGTGATAAACAAAAATTTGACAATTTTCTTCAGTCAACGACTAGAGACTTTATCCGTTAGATTATCCAATATATGACAATTCACCGAAGAAAGTTGAATATATAAAAGTAGAGAACACGAGATGCGAATTCAAGTAGATTATGACTTATGGTGCACATTTTTATGGTGTAATATTGCAATGTCATACCTGAAAGTTATCAAAATCGCGAGCTGGAATCTTGTCGTCAAACTTTTGCATGTCTTCCCAAGGTCCATCGCCAACTCCAACGAGAACTATAGCAAGCGGATATGCACTGTATCATAAACAAAGAATGTTATTAATTAATCATCTAATGAAGCTGTTTCCAAATTCTTTAGTCCATCAAATTAGCTACCTTGCATTAGCAATTGCTTTGATTGTCTTCTCTTCTTGAGGGCTTAGTTCATAATCATTGGTATCTACACTTCTTGTAACCTTAAAATGAAACAAAAATACCATATCAATATGATTTGAGAACATAATACATGAAGAAATTAATTAAGCTAGCCTATATGTTATATACAATGAAGCATGGACACCGTCACACTAACACTAGACGCGACACTGACACGTCGACATCAATAATAATTTAAAAAATAAATAAATTGAACGTAATCACAAGTGTCGGTGTTGTGTCAGTATATGTTATATATAATGAAGCATGGACACATACACAGACAAACATTGTGCATTAGCACAAACACAACCTTTTTTCAAAGGTGTCGGTGTCAGTGCTACAGAGGTTATATATACCTGGCCATCTGCAATGATAACCAAGACATGAAATTGGCCATGACTTTTCTCAACTATGTCTATTGCAGCCTCAATGACAGGAGCATAACAAGTTGGTCCTGAGAGTTTCAAGTTTGGAACAACTTTTTTGTAGCAATCCAAAACTTCCTCAAAGCCATGGCAAGGTGAATGATCACTATGAAAGCTGAATACTTGTTGATCATGTGTAGTAGCTGAATAATCAATTGAAAAAGCTATTAATTAAATCATTTTTTACATATTATACTTTAAAAGGAATAGAGAACACACCATCACCAAAACCAAAGCATGGAATCAAGTTATCATCATCAAAGGGAGCCAAAGTCTTGCCAATAATTGTTATGGCCTTCTCATAAGGATTAGGTGTTTCTCCAATTGCATGTAAGCTTCTATTATTGAATGAGACTTTACCTTCAAAAATAAATTATAACCAACGTTTTAAAAACCGAACTGAAAAGTTCATTAAACCATCAACCAGCATTGTCTATTATTAAATTTTGAGATATTTGATTACAATTTTATTTCAATTCGAGCTTAGTAAGGTCGTTGAAACATGATTTAGATGTTTGGAATCACTTATTTGTTTGTGTGGTAGAACTTACCAGTCCATTCATTACTCTTTGTGAAATCAATTCCAAGGATGAGATTTGATGACTCTAAACCTTCTTTCCTAAGGGCCGCAATAACCTATAAAATATTATTTCTATTAAATTCATAATAAAAATAGAATTTCTCACACTATTTGAATTGTTTCACTTTAAAAAAAATATACAAAATACAAATCAAATCAAATATCTTAATCATTAATTAATATGAATGATTTGGTAATCATGTTTACCAAATCCACCCTATAGAACATAGGTTCTTAATATATAATAATGTCCTTTAAAAAAGTTGTTAACTCTAATTAAGGAAAAAGTAACATGCTTCACCATATTTTTAATATTCCCTTTCCCTTTTATTTAAAGACAAACTATTTAATTAATGGTCTATGGTTCAAGCTAGAGTGGTTCATTAATTAGTTATTACTTTCATTAACAAATAATTTCAATCTAAGAGTTTTTTTTTTTACAATTTCATTAAGAGTTTATAATCAAGAAATTTGCATAATAACTACTAAAAATATCACATTAAATAGTATTGCTAACTTACTTAATTTGCAGCTATACTCTCAATATGTTTTTTGGTATCAAACTTATATCAATTAAATAGTAATTAATTTGATGCTAGTTTAAGATTGATTATGAAATAAAAAATAATTACTTACACTCTTTAGCAAAATTATAGATTATGCTAACAAATAATTTATTTCACTCAAAAAGAAGGTTGATATTTAAATTTCACAAAAACATCTTAACAAAAAGAAACATAAAATAAAACCCTAAAATCTCTCAAATTATGATATATTCTTTCTAGTTCTAGAAGAAAAAAAATGGTGCACTTAATTATTGGATAATCACAAATATTTTCTATTAAGAAAAAGTAATTATTATTAGAGAAACAGACCTGTTCAAGAGTAGTGAAGTTATCTGGAATCAAAGCATATTTGTTGGTAGGTTTCTTGGTGTTTGAGCTTTGTGTCCCAAAACTTGATTTCTTAGACATAGAAGAAGCAACTTGTGGTGGAAGTGGTAATGGAATAGGCTTTTGATTTTGAGTTTGAAAATTAGAACAAGAGATTCTTCCACCTCTTTCTTTATCATTCCTAGAATGTTGTTTCTGAGACTCATGCTTTTTATTTTTACCTAACAAATTTCCCATAGCATCAATTCAAATAACTAGCTTTTTTATCTCTATATATATTGAAAGATTGACATGTATATATATGTAAATTGTAATGTAATTTTTTTCTAGAAAAAATAAAAAGTAAAAAGGAAATACAAAGGAAGGTGGCAAGTGTCAGTGTGTGGTTCCTAGAAAATCATATCATATAACAAAAATCATTTATTATTGGTATCTAATTCTATTCTTGGTGCTTTACTTTGCCTAATAAGATTAATAAGATGCTCAAGAATTATTGAGTGTTCAAGGGTTTTAGTTCTAAAAGGAGTAGAATGGAAAGAAATATAATTATATAGATAGTGATATATGATATGATTCATAATTTAATTTTTTAAATGCCTAAATATTAGTAATATCAATTTATATTTTAGTATTTTTTTTATAGAATGGAAAGATTATTTTTTTAATTAAAAAATTAAAAATATGTATATGATATTAGCTGAAAATAAATTATTTAAAAAATATATTTTCAGAAAAAAAATATTAATTATTATTTTATAATTGCATTATCTAAGAGGATCTCTATATTTCTTGTATTTTAGTATTTTTTTTATTTTGAACAAATTAAAATTCGAATATACTCTCTACCTTTGATGTTCTTGCAGAGTTGTGAAATGGGCTATTTTACTCAAATTGGAATAGAAAATGTCTAAAAATAAAAAATATAAGTCATTAAGTCATAGATATATATGGAATTATTTGACTATTATTTCACGCATATGTATATTTATGGAATCAATTTATTGGACTTAAATGTAAAGAGGAAATTTGATTTGTATGATAGCTAAAATTTTAAAATAACGATTGAGAAATATGTGTAGATTGTAACCATTATTGGTGGAGTGTCCAGATTTAAATTGTTGGATAAAATTGTAATATAAATAAATATTGCCACGATTTCACTAATGAACCATATAATTTTAATTTTGCAATGTGCTACATGTTATATTAATGCTAAAATGTTTTCCTATTTTTAATTAAAATATATAACACATCTGATATATATAAAATCCTAAATCCCAACCATCAATTGGTAGAATATTGAATAGAATATAATAATTTAGTGAAGAAAAAAATAATTTTTAGAATAATCGATTATAGGTTTTATATAATTACTTATCACTTTGTTCGGTAGCAAAAGAATTAAACAG